ACTTGGGCTGTAGCCACCAAAAGTCAGCTGGGGTGGCGCCTGCGGGCTGGCGTTCCTCTCTGCTTGTGGGCTGAGCTTGGCGGAACCTGTTGATGTACCTGTGAGCATTGGGATGAGAAGCACGGCAATAACAGAAATTATCACAACAGCAGTGGGCACACTGTTCTTTCTTCTGTTTAAGTACCACGGAAAGTTGTGTTCAGTGGCCCAGATAAAAATAACTGCTTTTGCCTGCAGTGGTGGCACCGGCCTTTGATCCCAGCACTCGGGGGGTGAGGGTAGGGTAGGCAGAGATGGGCAGATCTTTTTTAGTTTGAGGCCAGCTTGGTCTACAGAGTGAGTTCCAGGACAGCCAGGACTACACAGAGAGACCCTGTCTTGAAAAACCAACCAAATAAATAAATAAAATAACTGCTTCCTTTAAATCTACCAAAAGCAAGAACTTGGTCTTAAATATCCATTTCTCTTTCTTATATAGTAATGTAATTGCATTTTATTTTTTTTACATTTTATTCTCTCTGCACGCACACACACACACACACACACACACGTGTACAGGATGGGTACACACTTGAGCAGGTATGCTACAGTGCTGTAGGTGGTGTAGAGTTGGGTTCTAGGGATCACCCTCAGGTTATCAGACTTGGTGGCAAGCACCTTTATCCACTGAGTCATAAGGCCAGGCCGGTTTTATCTATTTATTTATTATTTGTTTATTTATTCATTTTGAAGCAGGGTTTCTCTGTGTAGTCCTGGCTGTCCTGGAACTTGCTCTGTAGATCAGGCTGGCCTCAAATCCAGAGATCCACCTGCCTTTGCCTCCTGAGTGCTGGGATTAAAGGTGTGCACCACCACCTGGCTGTGTACGTTCTTTTTCACACTTGATGTGTACAGGGATGGCACACACATCACAGAAGACAACTTTGTGTAGTCAGTTCTCCCTTTCCAATTTCACGTGGGGTCTTGGGAGCAAACTGAGGTTGCTAGGCTTTTGTAGCAAATGCTTTTACCCACTGAGCCATCTTGCTGGCCCCTTTGTGTGTGTGTGTGTGTGTGTGTGTTTACACAAGGTATCATTTAGCTTAGGCTGGTCTTGAATTCACTATGTAGCTGAGAGTGACCCTGAACTTCTAATCCTTCTGCCTCCTCCTTTGGAATGCTAGACTACAGGCATATATCACTATGGCTTTGGGGGTCAAACCAAGGGCACTGTGCATGCTAAACAGGCTCTCAAACAGTTCAGCTATGTCAACAGCCAGATTGGTTCTTAACCAACAAAGAATAAGGGAACACGATTCTAGAAAAGTAATGTCAGTGATAACCATCTTGGCCAGTGAAGGAAAGGACAACAGCTTATAGACAGGACAACAATAAGATAGACGGAACCTATGCTCCTAACACCTTAGATAGGGGCTGCAATGTCAGCCCTGGTTGCTTCTGTCTGGACCACTAAAGGAGAGAGAAATAAATGTTATCATAATTAATCTAGGACCCTTTGTTACAGATCCAAATACTCATTCTATGATGGGCGTTCTTGTAGATTATATAGAGGAACTGAGGATTCAAAACAGCCTCGGTGCATGTGCGTGATTAATGTTCCCAGTTCAAGGAAATTGAGACCAAAGCAATACAGAGAATAAGTTAGCAGAGGTGGGATTTGAACCTAGGAAGTGCAGCTCCAGACCCCTCAATAATGCACATGAAGTGACTGGTCCCGAAAGAGAACTGCATAAACAGCTCTGTCTCTGATGGTTATTATGGGATGCCCTCTTCCTTCCTGTAACCCCACTCCTTCCCCGCTCCCCAGGGATTCTGGTACTTACTTGGCCACCACCGAGTCGCCGCTGTCAATTACTGTGAGTGGTGGAGAGGTACTTTGTCCCTCTGTGCTGAGTGGGGAAGGGGTCCCTGAACTGGATGGCCAGGACACCTCAGACAGCTCAGGGGACTCGGCTGCTGTGGCCTTGGGAGCTTGTGACCTTTGAGACCCGGATGCACCCAGGATTTAAATTGGAGAAAAAGAAGAAAAAGTTAAGTCAAAAGGGGGGTTGGTGGCTCACGCCTTTAATCCCAGCATGGGGGGTGGGGGCCCGCAGCTGAGGCAGGTAGATCTCTGTGAGTTCGAGGCCAGCCTGGTCTACACAGGACAACCTCTAAAGCAATACAGAGAAACCCCTGTCTCAAACAAAAACAAAAACAAAAAAAAGAAAGGGGTGATCTCTGTGGGAAATGAACACACATAGACAGTCTAAAAGAGGGCCCCACCCTGCGGG